TCATTTTGCGCGGTTTCATACATAAACACAAGAATATTAAAAAATAATTTTCCTCCTTGAACCTAAAATTGTTTCTTCCCCGTCAATTCTGCTCGTCTTTATATTTTCCAGGTGTTTCTTTGTTCCTGTTTGTTGTTTAGAAATAGAGACTGTTTAGGTTTTGATTCATGAAAATCCCTACTAATTTTTGCGTATCATATTCTACACAAAGATACTACACGACGATATTTACATTTCGGAAGACATAACACTGAAAGGGAACCATAGTAGCGATCCCTAATGCGCTGACGCAAGTCAGAGCAAATCCCCGCTCCATAAAAGTTACAGGCAACTAACCCATCAAGTCCATGGCTGATATCAAGGTGAAATCAGTCTTAGGATAATAAATGTTAAAGTATACAAAATTGCCCTACAAAACAACTGGAATCGAAACAGTTATATTATTGTCTAAGATTCAATCAGGATGACAAGACTTGTTTGCTAATTTGGTTGTAGTTATACTTTGTGTGTCGAGAGATTATAATGTGTAAAAGAAGGTGACCAAAGGATGACTTACACTAGGTTAGGCGTAAGTAATGTATGTTAGGGGCAATCCCCCCATGCACTACCTCATCCGATTAGGTGTACAGCAATAAGAGCCCACTCGATTTGTATATCCCGTGTAGGGTTAGAGGACCGGAATCCAACCACTTGAAACACATTAGATTACTAAAGGGAACCTCCCTCAAGGCATCACACACACACACACTGATCCTATTAGCGACCACATAAATAAACAAGACACAGTATGGTGCACACTCATACATTTCCCTAGATGGCAGGCAAGCAATCAAGAGAACTTCCCTTTTTGGGGTACCCATGTATATGAAAAAAAACAAACAAAAAAAAAAGCAGTACCCCTCGAGACTCTAACAGGATACGCTATACATAGTTCGCATCCGCACAAACCATATTACAATCATCGTGGAGCGCATTCTCTCAATTCCTCTTTCTATATTTAGTGTGGATTTTCCCAATTTTTATGTTTATAAATGATGGAATTCCTCTCACAATGTTCGCCACGAACCATTGTCTTGACTCATTCCTCTAATCAGCATCTTCATTATGTGCCTTGCCCTTTTTGATTTCCCAGTGTCTACAGTCAGTCTTGTAAATGCACATAACTATACAACGCCACTAGAAGCACCCACAGGACCCACACATTGCTAGGCATAGTATCAGCTACTTTTGAGAAAAGCTTCTATATGAAAGAAAGAACCAAAAGTAAAGAATGGAATTGGCCTGGATGCCTGAATATTTCCTAAGAGAGAGATGAACATCAATATCAAAGTCCATGCCATTGCATGAGTAATAGCGCAAAATTAATCAATAAGCAAACGTAGAGTTTTCAATACTAGACATAATTCACGAAAAGAGTTATTAAGATGTGCCGCGACACTATTAGTATCAGAACTAGAATTCATAATTTCACCTTGACTCAAGGCAGTACGAATAACCGCGATCAAGTAAGCATCGAAGTCATGACTGCGAATCAAAAGGATACCAAGTAAGGCATTCACCGAGTGCGGTGGGCCACAACGGCTGTATATTTTGCCTCATCATCTGTTAATTGAGAGGAGGTCAAGGTGAGAGCGGGCTAGCGGATGTCGAAAAGACTGCGTGAGAATTCTCGTATGATCGAATCCATTGTGCATCACCACAGCGAGAACCTCAGCCTAAGCCACGAACACTATCTTTACTAAAAAACATTCACACAAAACTTACCAGGTACTGGGTCACGTGGTTTGAGGACGCTTGTAAGTGATTTTCTCCTACAGCACACCTGAGGAAGCTCCTGGCAGTGCAGAAGAATGGTGGTCAACCTACACAAGGTAGACGGTGTGTAGCTTGCAGTTGACGAGATTCCCATGCTGCGTGCTTGCAGCTCCAATGTCTCTGGAGAGAACAGATGCCCAGTACGAATCATGTGCGTGACTCAAAAAGAAAATCAAAAGAAAAATCTCCAAAAAAGTAGATAAAATTGGATAAAAATAGAAACAGAAAGATAAAGTGAAACCAGTAAGAACAAACTTTAGAAATCAAAAATTGACAAGGAGTATTAAAAACCGAAATAACCTAATGGAGACCAGATATTACTATGAGGTTGCGAGATGTGGTATAATTAGTAGGTGGATAGACATTTATGAGATGATAATGCAGATAAATTCAGAAACAGTGATTAGAAAAGAAAACTGTGAAACAAATCGAAATATAGAAGTCAAAGTTGGGCGATCTTCTTCCATCCAGACCAACAATAGAGAAGAACTCTCTGTTGCAACAACCGATAAAAAAAGACAACAACTTAACTGAAAAAGCAACGAAGCCAGGCTGGAGTGCAGTTGGCATGATCCAAGCAAAAGACTTGAGCTAGAGCGAGTAGTACCTTTCTCAAAAAGACTACACAAATGGATCAATAAGGCATATAAAAAATGTTCAGCCGGACACAGTGGGCGTCACACCTTCACACCTGTAATCCCAGCACTTTGGGAGGCTGAGGCAGGTGGATCACTTGAGGTCAGGAGTTCAAGACCAGCCTGGCCAATACGGTGAAATCCCATCTCTACTAAAAATGCAAAATTCAGCTGGGCATGGTGGCACATGCCTATAATCCCAGCTACTTGGGAGTCTGAGGCAGGAGAATTGCTTGAACCCGGGAGGCAGAGGTTGTGGTGAGCTGAGATCATGCCACTGCACTCCAGCCTGGGCAACAGTGAGACTCCATCTCAAAAAACAAAACAAAACAAAACAAAACAAAACAACACAACAACAACAACAAAAAAACAGTTCATTCAACGTCATTAGTCATTAGGAAACGTCAAATCAAAATCACAATGAGAATCTATTTCATACCCACTAAGATGACTATAATCCAAAAATGGAAAACAAGTATTAGTGAGGATGTGAAGAAACTCAAATACTCAAACACTGCAGGTGGGAATGTAATATAGTGTGGCTGATGTGGAAAATATCAAAAAGAATTACCATTTGACCCAGCAATTCCACTTATCAAACAAAACCTTGTGCACCTGAATGTTCACAGCAGCATATTCACAACACCCATAAAGGGAAATAAATCTAAATGTCCAGCAACTACTGAACAGATATGAAACATGGTACATGCAATGGACTATTATTTCACCTTAAAAAGAAAGGAAGTAGTGATATATGCTACAATGTGGCTGACCTTCAAAAGCACCACACTAAGGGAAATAAGCCAGGCACAAAAGTATTATATGATTCCATTTGTAAGAAATATTCAAAACAGGTAAATCCACACACGAAAAGAGCACATTAGTGGTTGCCAGAGGCTGGGGGTAGGAGGAGGAGAGACAGACTCCTTAATGGGTGTTAAGTTTTATTTTGGGGTGAGGAACGTGTTTTGGAACTAGAGGTGATGGTTGCACAACAACATGAATGTACTAAATACCACTGAACTGTACACTTTAAAATGCATAATTCTATGTTATGTGGATTTTGTCTTAACAACCAAAAAGAACCAATAGGGAGGGGTGACGTGTGTGTGAGGAAATGAAAATAGTAAGTTATGGCAAGTGTTTCAAAAAGTTTCAAGGACAGCTGAAATAAAGCAGCAGATTGAGAGAACTTGAGGTCAAGGGAGAAATTTTTCTTTCTTTCTTTTGACATTGAACATCCCAGAACACATCCATGCTGTTGGCAATGACCCAGTGGAGGAGACTGATAAGGCAGATGCCATGAGTACAACCCCTGAGAATGTAATGGGGGAGAGGATTCAGAACACAAGTGGAGAAACTGGCTTTGGAGAGAACATTAATAAAAAAGGGAAAACAGCCTATACATCTGAATTCTTATAGACTTGGGTAGTGGAAAGATGAGGATATTTCTGTTGGTTGGCCCCTTTTTCTCACAGAAGTTGAAGTTAAATGCTTTTTGTAATTTTTATTCATGTGGAGTGGGAGAAGGATGAAATGGGAAGAAGAAAAAGTTAAAAACAGTGATTTTTAAAGGGAAAAAAAATCCCTAAGTTTGCGAGATTGAGAATACTGCTCTCTTCCTTGGGCATAAGACATCAAATAAATGTATTTCTATTTTAAAGTCTGGGTATTGCAAATGCTTAATTTAGTTTGCTGCCAAATTGGTGCATTAAATGTGCAAAAAGCAGCATTAAGTCTTAATCACTTCATGATTAAGATACAAAGGTTCCTAGAATCTGTCAAAATGAAATACTGAAACCCAGTGATTTTCAGGAAAATAGTATAAGGACATAGGACTCATAGAATGGGAATTAGATCTTACAAAGAATAAAATGAAGACCTATGCTGCCTAGGCCCTGAGTGAACTGTGTACCCTTCCAACCAGAGTGTGTCTAGATTTGTCTACTCCTGTAGAACTATTTATTCCTGAGACATGGAGGCTACTGTATAAGCACCAAAGACCCACTCTAAATAATCCAAAACATACCTATATACACGAACGGACTTGATAGATTTTTTTTTTTTTTTTTTTTTTTTTAATGAAGCAGAGGGGCTGGGCACTGTTGGCTCATGCCTGTAACCCAGTGCTTTGGAAGGCTGAGGTGGGAAGAATCTGCTTCAGCTCAGGAATTCAAGGCTGCCAGGAAGCTATAATCACACACTGCACTCTAACCTAGGTGACAGAGGGAGGAGCCTGCCTCAAAAAAAAAAAAAAAAAAAAAATAGAAACCAAAAGAAAAGACAGCAGCACACTCACCAGTGTTCATCTTTTATAATTGGATTTTCTCTTGGCAATGTTTGCGTTTGGGTACCACCACAGTTGCTATCTCTTGAACATCTTTCATTAAAACATCACCTTCTAGTTTGAGAATACTTTTAAGCCTGCTGAGCTCCTTTGGGGCATTCTTTTTTCTCTTTTCAGCACGCATCTTTCTTTTCCACTTACTCCGTAAGCTTTTAGCCATGTTTTACCTGAAGTTAACAAAAATATACATTCAAAAGCAAATCTTTAATATAAAAAAGAAAAAAGGCAAATCCTTAGAAAACCAGGCCAACAGATATCTTTACAAAACAAGTGAAAAGTAAAACTCTTCAATCTGTTCGCTTTTTATGACAACATGCAACTTATATGAAGATCAACGTGGTACATACAGTCACTAAATAACAATTAAGATATCAAACTTGTAGTCATAAGCAAACTACAAATCAAACCAATTCTGAAAGCACCTTGAATTTCTTTACAAAATACAGAAATTTAATTTCCCCAGAATGCAAGAGCGTCATCACCTTACATTTACGCAACAGCTTACAAACTACAAAACGATTTTTTTAACACTTCACCTCATCTTCATTATCCATCCTCTCAAGCCAACTTAACGACTCTAAACTTACCTATTCCTACTCTTGTTTTCTTTCCACTCAGTTGGGCCCTAAATCCTCCACAAGGTGCTCAGTGTGATCTTTTAAAAGAGCATTCACTGCCTTTCTTCGAGTTCTTTAAAGACCTCCCTCATATATATTCAAGATCTACAAGGTTATTTGTTATCTGTCCCCTGCCTCCTTCAACTCTATTTCATTTCATTCTCCATCCCCATCCCCGCAGGCTCCAACTACGTCTGAAAAGAGTCCAAACTATCTCTAAGTCAGTGCCTTCACGTTTGCTGTCCCTATGCCTGGCAACTGCTCTTCTCAAGGCTTGCTCCTTCATTCGATACCTCAGAAAGGACTCCTCTGACTTCCGTAAGCTCCCTTCCCTGCTTAATAGGTGTTACAACCTGAAACTACTGTTCTCTGTCACATCCCCCACCCTCTCCCCAGACTGCAGACTCCACGAAGGTAGAGGGAAAGGTCTTTTTCCCAGTGCACAGAATTTTGCATACTTGTTGAACGAATGACTAACATTTTTTGAACGCCGGCAATCACCAACTCATTCCGGTCCCTTGTCTACATAACTCAACCCTTGCGAGGGGCTAGGAAAGCGGGCGGTAAACAACCTTGAGGGCCGAAGTTAACTTCAGCGGGAGTAAACAACAGGGGAGAGGGCTCCACTTTACCCAGTGCACTCGGAAGCCGGAGGGCCCCCACCAAGAAGAGCACGGGGAACCTTCGCCCTCAACCAAGGCCTGCATCGCCGGATCGGAGCTCAAGTATAGCCCACGAAGTGTCAAGAAACGAAATTCTCCAGGGGTGGCGGAATCAAGTCCCAAGTCCCCTGTCTCACTGGACCGGTGACGCACCGAACTCACCTGAAAAACCAACACACACGCCTCAGGATCACGCCAACCGGAAGTCTTTGCACTTCCGTCTTCCGGGCAGAGGACACCCGGGCCGGACGCAGTGCATGCCGGGAGACAAAATATCTCAAGAAGCCTTGAGAGGCGGGATTTTGGAATCCTGGCGCTGACGAGCTTCCTTCTTTGGTGTGATCGCGGACCTAGAAACTCGGTCCGTCCCATACAGGTGTATGTAGAAGTCGGATTTGGAGAATGCGGAAGCGTGTGCCAGTCAAGGTTAGGCTCCAGGTAGGTCCGCTTTCCGGACATGGGCAGGGTAGCCCCGAAACTAACCCATGAAGTGAACCTGACCAGGGGACCCTGCTGGTCAGATAGCGAGCTCCGAGCCGACCTTTAGATCTGACCTCACCGTTTACAGGATACTCATATATTTCCTTAGATCAACTCAGCCTAGATCAGGTGTTCTTCCAGAGGCCGTATTGAGATCATTTTTATTTGCAGCCTGTGAATTTTCTCATCTCGGGTGATGGCCTCACAGATGTACACATATGTCAAACCGCATCAAACTGCACACTTTAAATATGTGCAACTTATTGCATGTCAGTCATACTCAAAGCTGTTACCAAAAACAGAAAACAACCTTTTCCCACCCCAGAGAAGAATTTAAAGGGTAAAATGATCAAAGGATTTCAGTTCTACCAGTGTTTACCTGTCTGATCACTTACATATCAAGACAGAATGCTAAACCTAGGACGATTGTCTTAGCTCATGAAGAACACTTACTTTACAACTATTTCTAATGGCATAGGCTTTGGAACTATATAGGTCTGTGTTGTATTCTTGCTTCCAATACTTGTGAACGATATGGGTGAGTAACTAATGTTATAAGGGCCTGAATTTCCTTGTCCCTAAAGTGAACATAATACAACCTAATTGATACTGTAAGAGTTCAACAGATGGTACCCTTTTTACATTATAGTTTCAAACGTATAGCAGCACAGTACTATTTGTAAGCAATGTTTCTAGAGATTTACGACATATACCCAAAAAACATGTCTTTGATGATGGCCTGGTAAATTCCTGCTGGTTGCTAGAAAAAAGGGTTCTGAGGCAATCTATGGGTCCCTTTTTTCTTTAATTTTGTGTCCTTTGTGAAACCATGCATAGTATGGAAATTACTGAATTCAGAATATAGCAAGGTTAAAGAGGCTGAAAAAAACTTAGAACATTTGATACAAAAAAAAGGAAGCATGCCTAAGAAACCTGGTTTCTTTAAATGAGATTTTGTTCTTATAAAGCAAGTGAATTTCTGTTTTACAAGTTAACCATATACTGTACCTCATCTTTCAAATGAGAAGTTAGCTACCTCACCCAAAAATATATGTGCACATTGCATTTTAGAGAAAGCTCACATTCTGATAGTCCATATTTACTGTATCTTGTTTAACATACCAGGACAAGACTTTTGAATAGGCACTTGGCACCAGAAAAAATAATTTACCTATTATGAAAATGTCATGTTGTTAAAATACCATGCCATGATTTAGCATTACAAGTGCTTTAAACAGCTAAGTAAAACACCCTTTTACTCCTTTTTACTTATGTCCCCTCACCAGTTATATAAAACCATTCTAGAAGAGTTAAGTGGCCTTAGTATATTTAAAAGTCTAATTCATTCCTTCATTCATGCCTTTGAATATGCACTCGATAGGCACTATGCTGAATTTGCAAAAATGAAGGAAACTACTGTTTTTAGGAAACTTTATCCCTTAATGGACAAATAAGGCTTAAGGGTCCAACTAAACGTTACAATGGCTCATCACAGAGCTAGAAGAAGCCTATATATAGAACTAGAGGCACAGTGGGTGGCCCTGAATACCTTACAGGAAGCAGACTGATTTTCTCATCCAAAAGGCATGCTACATGATGCAGAACAGTCAGTGGGGCCCCTGCAGTCAGGCCTCTCCCATGGAATCTCTGATCTGCACAATCACTTAGTAAGGAACAGGAAGACTTCTGGGATTCAGAGAGTGACCCCATGTTGCCCATTCCCTAGATGATGGGGACTTCAAGACAAAGCTCTAGAAAGATGAAAGAAAAAGGAAAAAGTATCTAAGTTCCTAGCTGCTCCAAAAAAAAGGCCTGCAGCTGGCTGTTGACCACTAATCCCTAGAAACGCATCAAGTAGACTGAAGCTAGGTCTGAGAAGAAATCAAGGCAGGTGTATACGGCCTACTGCATCTCTTTTCCCAAATTACATTCAAGAAATACAAAAGTTCTCAGATACTGCTGTTTCCTCATTTTTCTCCTCTTATCTGTTCTTCCTTTGGCCCTTGCACACTTGAGTTACCTGTTGCTCTGTCCAAGTCCTGCTAATTCCACTTATTTTTTATTTTTTTTGAGACAGTCTCACTCTGTCACCAGGCTGGAGTGCAGTGGTGCAATCTCGGCTCACTGCAACCTCTGCCTCCTGGGTTCAAGCGATTCTTCTGGCTCAGCCTCCTGAGTAGCTGGGATTACAGGCGTGTGCCACTAGGCCCAGCTAATTTTGTATATTTAGTAGAGATGGGGTTTCACCATGTTAGCCAGGCTGATCTTGAACTCCCAACCTCAGGTGATCTGCCCGCCTCGGTCTCCCAAAGTGCTGGGATTACAAGTGTGAGCCACCACGCCCAGCCCTAATTCCACTTACTATTAATATTTCTGGAGTCTGCATATTTTCACCTTTACTTAATGCAATGCTTTAAAATGGTCTAGGTATATTCCCTACCTAGAAGAACTCATACCTATACACAGTGGGACATATACACAGACTTACATACCACATAAAATTCATTGACAGAACACAGGAATAAACCAATGGTTCATTTATACAATGTAGTATTTTTATACCAAAGGATTTTAAACTTCTTGGTCTTGGGATTCCTTTACACGCTTACTATATTGATCATATCAGAAATTAAAACAATTTTTTTTGAAAATTTAAGTCATTTAGAAAGGATAAATTTATTATGTTAACATTTTTATGGAAACTATATTTTCTAAATAAAAATAATTTAGTGAAAATAATGGCATTGTTTTACATTTTTAAAATATCACATCTACTTTTGCTTATACAGAATCTTTAGTCACAAATCAGTCCATTCCACCTTTGAACTGAAAATAGTATTAATACGATCAGCTGACATTAAGCACTTAATTTATATATCTATCTCATTTAATCCTTGTAATAGCCCAATAAGCTAGCCATTATTATTATTCCCATTATGAAGATGAGGCAAAAGACCTAAGGAAGGATAAATAATTTGCCAAATGTCACTTAAGCATCTGGTTGGATTGCAAGGATTCTAATGTAGATGCTTTTACCCACCACGCTATGTTAAACTTGATTGCACTGCATCATGCACTTGATAATTCAACAATTAATGATAATAAAGTCAAATTTACATCTACAAATCATGCAAGGTTAAATTGATACTACAAGTTTATTTCAACCGTAATAGCTGGGAAATACTTAGGGGGTGTTATGGGCTGAGTTGTAGTCCCCCCAAAATTCACATGAAGAAATCCTAATCCCAGCACTTCAGAATGTGACTGTATTTGGAGATAGGTTTTTAAAGAGATAATTAAGGAAAAATGTGGTCCTCAGTGTGGGTCCTAATCCAGTATGACTGGTATCCTCCTAAGGAGGAGAAATTTGGGCACAGACAAGTACAGAGGGAAGGCCATTTAAAGACAGGGAGAAGATGGCCATCTACAAATCAAAGAGAAAGGCCTCAAAGGAAACCAAGCCTTCTAACACCTTGATCTTGGACTTTTAGCCTCCAGAACTGTGGGAAAATAAATTTCTTGTTGAAGCCACCCAAGCTGTAGTACTTTGTTATGGCAGCCTAACAAAATAGTACAGTGACGGAATTTGACAAAACTTCATTGGTTACTGGTACACGGACCTGACACACTGTGTGGACCAACGCAAATGAAACCATGAGACAATATTTCCCAAGTATTTTTATTTTGAAATAGATATACTTAATGGCTGATGACCCAGTAACTTTGGTGTCCTCTAACCACATTAGCATTGTATAATTTCAAATGAAATCTATACTTTAAAAAACAATTAATGTCAAATTTTGTCATAATATCTGACTTTCAGGCAGACTTTTAATTTTAGTACAATTTAAAATAAAAAGTCATTAACATTTTAATACAATTTTAATATAATACTGAATAATTCTCTGTGGAATTTATATTTTATATTTTTTTCCTTTTAAATTAGATGAAAATTGCCAAGCAAAGAGAGATTTACAGTTTATAATGGTAAAGACTCTACTACTCTAGAATCAAAGACAAATCAATATTACTTAATAATTCAGGGAAAATTTAGATAAAATCACTAGACAAAGGTAAACTGATATTCTTATATACTCATAAAATTACTTTTGAATTGCAAACAAACAGCTATGCATGGCTAATTTAGGAAGAAAAACTTTTTTTTTTTTTGAGACTGAGTCTCACTTTGTCACCAGGCTGGAGTGCAGTGGCGTGATCTTGGCTCAATGCAACCTCCATCTCCATCTCCGAGGTTCAAGCGATTCTCTGGCCTCAGCGTCTTGAGTAGCTGGGACTACAGGCACGTGCCACCACACCCAGCTAATTTTTGTATTTTTAGTAGAGATGGGGTTTCACCATGTTGGCCAGGATGGTCTCGACCTCTTGACCTCGTGATCCACCTGCCTTCGTCTCACAAAGTGGTGGGATTAAAGGCGTGAGCCACTGTGCACACCCAGAAAAGCATTTTTAATAGAATTTTTGATAGCTCTTAACTGAGATCCTAAATCAAGGATTTAGAAATGAGGTATCATAAAGAACAGTAAGATTTTAAAACTCTCAAAATTACATATGATACAAATAAAGATTGTAACAGTATTTAAACATTGTTTCAAACTTTATTACTTAATGAAACAGTTTCTATATACTGCTTCCGATTACTTTTTTAATCCTTTTTTTCTCATTAATTTTGTTGTTGTTGTTGTTCTTCAGTTGAGCTGAGATACTTTTAATTACTTTTTATTAACTGCTTCCAGAAACCGTAACAGGTGCAGGAATAGATTGATGATATCCAAGTAGAGGCTGATGGCAGCTAATACATACTCTTCAGGTGACAGTTTATGCATCAGTGAGTGTGTGTCATAGATGATGAATCCACAGAAAAGAAGGGCTCCTGCAGCAGCTAAGACCAACTCCATTGTCTCACTATAAAAAAATAACTATAGGGAAGAGATTAAAGAAATATGTTGATATTTGAGAACAGTATTAACAGGACTTAACTTACTTCCTCTAATGATTTACTGCTACATTACACATTTGACAAAGGTGTACAACTTTGAATAAAAATGTTAAAAGCAGAAAAAGGCAAGGCAGGTCCAAAGTTGCCTCTGTTGGATGGAAGGATGAATGAGGGGATATATTCCATTAAACTAAATTACCCACTTTGAAAAATAGCATTCCAAATATAAATTATTTAAAAATATATTTCTTTTTCACAATTAAATGTGCCACTGGAACTTGGCAGTTGTAAGCAAGGGCCTCTTTCTATGTAATTTAATTCATTTATTCATTCATCTTTCTTTCAGTCAATAATAAGGACCAACACAAGACCCTGATTT